CTGCCCTTGATAAAACACAGTGCACCAACAGCAGCAGCTGACATGGCACCCCAGACCATCACTGACTGTGGGTACTTGACACTGGACTTCTGGCATTTTGGCATTTCCTTCTCCCCAGTCTTCCTTCAGACTCTGGCACCTTGATTTCCGAATGACATGCAAAACTGAGCAACAGTCCAGTGCTGCTTCTCTGTAGCCCAGGTCAGGCGCTTCTGCCGCTGTTTCTGGTTCAAAAGTGGCTTGACCTGGGGAATGCGGCACCTGTAGCCCATTTCCTGCACACGCCTGTCCACGGTGGCTCTGGATGTTTCTACTCCAGACTCAGTCCACTGCTTCCGCAGGTCCCCCAAGGTCTGGAATCGGTCCTTCTCCACAATCTTCCTCAGGGTCCGGTCACCTCTTCTCGTTGTGCAGCGTTTTTTGCCACACTTTTTCCTTCCCACAGACTTCCCACTGAGGTGCCTTGATACAGCACTCTGGGAACAGCCTATTTGTTCAGAAATTTCTTTCTGTCTTACCCTCTTGCTTGAGGGTGTCAATGATGGCCTTCTGGACAGCAGTCAGGTCGGCAGTTTTGAGTAATGAAACAGGCTGGGAGTTTTTAAAAGCCTCAGGAATCGTTTGCAGGTGTTTAGAGTTAATTAGTTGATTCAGATGATTAGGTTAATAGCTCGTTTAGAGACTCTTTTCATGATATGCAAATTTTTTGAGATAGGAATTTTGGGTTTTCATGAGCTGTATGCCAAAATCATCCGTATTAAAACAATAAAAGACCTGAAATATTTCAGTTGGTGTGCAATGAATCTAAAATATATGAACGTTTAATTTTTATCATTACATTATGGAAAATAATGAACTTTATCACAATATGCTAATTTTTGCTCTTGTAATGATTGGATAGGCAATTTGTTCCAATTGAGTTCCTCCCAAACTTTGTTAACAAAACATCATATGTTGTCGTGAAGACCTTTGAGTTGCTATGTGTATATGCAGGGCTTGACATTAACTTTTTTGCTCAACAGCCACTGTGGCTAGTGATTTTCCAAAGAAACTAGCCACTCAGAATTTTCCCTGGACACAATTTTGACATCGATACCATGGGGAAAAACTGCCATATACTGTAGATATTTTTAATATTATCTCATAATTTGTCAGCCGGTATATTAGGCTGCTGTCACTTTAAGACCAGACACACGGACCCATTATACTATTTTATATGGCCAATATATATGTGTTTATATTTGCACGCACTTTGGGTGTGAGCACAAAATCTGCGGGAATGAGTAAAATTTTGCTCAATGCGTGCAATCCCTAGCCGAAAATCAAGCCCTGTAACACCAACAATATTCATCCGGAGCAAATGAAACAGGCGAGTAAAAGGGACGTGGGTTTGTGTGTCAACTCGCTGTCGGAGAGATTAGAGAGCGAGAACGCGCAGCTGGTATTGTGTATCCTGCGGAAGAGTTTCAGATATTTCAGTATCGATATATATGAAAAATCAATATTTTTGACAACACTAAATTGCTCTTAGTTTATTATTTCAGATGCCTTTTTAAAAGACTACAATTGAAAAATGTATATTATATGCGCTATACTAATATAGCGGGTGTTAATGTCCAGCCCTGTGTATATGATATGACAATAGTTTTTTGTCGTTTTTTATGAAATAGTGAAATGCTGGTTAAGATACTCTCAGAGCAGCTCTGGTGGTGAAGTGCATGTGTTCAGATGGCAGAAGCTGAAAACATCATGCATTCTTGTCTATGCGTAGCAGACGGAACTGCACCGCTCATTGACACAGAGACACGCAGACATCATATTTAAAGTAGTCTTTTGCAGCCAATCTGTAAGTGAACTTCATCTTTCTCAAGAGCATCACACGGCAAAACATAAGGCATCAGTGTACCATTGGGCATGCAGCTGTGTATGAGGTTGATCTGAGTTTAGCCGCAGGCTCAGAGGAACAGATGACATGAAGGGGGTCCTCTAGGGCTAGGCAGTATATTACTTAAAAGGTTAGTTCACCCAAACATGAAAATTATGTCATTAATGACTCACCCTCATGTCGTTCCAAGCCCGTAAGAACTAACCCTTTAAGCTCAATAAATGTGCATTGGAGGCAAGACGGCTTAGAGCTCCCATTAAAGGACTGCCAGGGACATAAAAAGAATGAAAATAAAAATTTGTCCCTGTGATGAAGACTCCCACCACCACCACCACCACCTCTGTGATGTGACCGTACATGCAAATTGCTAATTATCATCCATGTCTCTCTCTAAAGCCTGCGGCAACACATGCCCCAACACACCCGCACACAAGCACATACGTTATCGTATCCATCCATAACTGAAAAGGTAAAATGGACTTATTATAAAAACCATACAACATAAGAAAACATGTTTACGTGACATTTTGGAAACCACAGGTTTTTCATCGGTTTTTGACATGTCAATACGTAAACGCGGGCAAGAATAAACCAACAAAATGTCAGTGAATGTATTTACATACAATTTTTTTTTGCTGTTTTGCTTACACTGACTATGACCTTTACCCAATAAAATAACACTGTATAGGTTGTTCACATGACCGTTCTTTGTCAAGTTATTAACCATAATCAATTTAAACACTCGTTTGCACATCACATACTGAAAGGCCTATTAAGACCTATGCTTTTGCATGGCAGATCATGTTACAAACTGTGATGAGTGAGAAGAGAAAGTGACCAGATAGGCATGGACATCTCACTCTGCTTCTTGTGACATCACCAGAGCCACACGTACACACAGGCAGCTTTCTCTGTCTCTCGCTCTCTATTTCTCGCACTGTGCCGCCCACCCACGGTAGAAACAGGACAGTCCGAGCCAGTGCTGCTGCACTAATTCTTGGACTGGCTGTGAGCGTGTCCTGGGGAAGGGAATACAAATCAGGCTTTACTATACAGTCAGTCCGAGCTGGCCTGTCTCCCAGGAGCCTACCGTGAAGACCGTCTGTGGCCTAGGCAAAAAAGTTGACAGGAAGGAAACCAGGCCTTCGGTTCTCGGCCTCCCCTGGGGCTCACAGCCCTCACAGAAGCAGATTATTACTGTAATAATCACCCAATTTGGTAAGGCGCCAGTCAAAGGGACGCCACATTTCACCTCTTCCAGCACTAACATCAGTCTGTATGCGCATCCACGTACAAGCACAGCAAGCAACACCCACATTCATCCTTGAGGGTAAAAGCAGTGTATTTAACGTTACACCGAATCGTGCAAACTCACAAAATCGACATGTCAGGCTGACAAATGTGTTTCTCTGTATAAAACTAATTCAAGTTGATTATTTACAACAGCGCTGCACAGTCAGTGCTGTGGCAGTGCAAGTCAAATTCCTAAAGTGCTTCTGTTCTTTCTGCACTCTAAAAACTGCTGGGTTGTTTCAACCCAACTTTGGGGCAAATATGGGCAAACCCAGCCGCTGGATTACATTTTTAAAAAACATTTTTAACCCAACGTTTGGGTTTGTCCATATTTGACCCAAAATTGGGTTAAAACAACCCAGCATTTTTTAGAGTGTGTGCATGCGTTGGCTTTTTTGGCAAACACTATATTCAACTCCGAGATCTAGACTTAAGACGAAGGGTGACCATGCTTTTTCTATTGTTGGTCCAAAATTGTGGAATAGTCTTCCTCTATCCCTAAACTAGTATCCACAGAGTCTGTTTTTAAATCTAAGTTAAAAACCTATCTCTTTTTACAGGCTTACAACTGTCCTTGATTTTTAGTGTTGGATTTTTCTGATTGGTGTTTATTTATCCTGTTGTACAGCACAATGGCCAACTACTGTTGCTTTTATTGTGCTATATAAATAAAAGTTGAACTCTATTTACTCTTAAAAATAAAGGCTCCATTCAGTGAACAGTTCTGAAAACCCTTTTTTTTTTCTTAGTGTGAAGAACATTTTAATAATCTCCGAGCAAACATTGGTCTGACTGTAATAACGTAACGTCTCTGGCTAAAAATAGTCACGTTTGGACGGCATAAATCGAATAACGACAAATAGATGGCCAGTTCAACTTTCATTTTGGAATTATTTTTAAACCATCACGGGACGTGTCGGAGGGACGTCTTTTCAATGGTCATTAAACGTCCAAATGTTTGCTGGGCTAAAGCACCTTTTTCCACTATAACTGTTTCCACTTCTATGCTGACAAAGAAGAACCACTTTTGTTTCCTCAAGGGACCTTGAACAGTTCTTAAAAGAACCATTTTTCCTTAATGTGACGAACATTTTAATCATTTATCCTCTATAAAGAACCTTGGAAAGGAAACGGTCTGATGGATGTTACATTTTCTTCTTAGAAACAATGGATGCCAATAATAATTTGTATTGTATTGTATTATGTAATAAAAAAATATAGGTTTATTATTAAAATATATATTATCATAAAAGCCAGAAGAGACTGCATCACAAACCTGTACACAAATGAACATGTTATGCAATTGTCAATTATGTCACTAACGTGATACTGAAGAGCTTGATAAGATCATGCTAATTTTTTGGCGTGCGCATATGGTGTCTGCACGTGCCAAGAGCGAAAGAGCATATGCCATGATCCTAAATGATTGTAATACTTTCAGATCAGTCCCTCTAGACTTTGTGGCATCCACATCATGGAGGGCTATAGGGCTCTCCAAAACACCATTGTATGCACGTCTTCCACAGTTAATTTTTTTTACCCAGCTCATTAGCATTATTAGTAAGTATGCCATCAGCTGCTCATAACTGGTTTGAGGTTACTTCTGGGGGGTCACGTTCGAGCCATTTCAAACTCACGCTCTCTGAGAGCTGCTGGAGCCGTTACGCACAACGCATCATCAAGGATGCCCACGCGTCCCGCCTCTCCAGTCTCCACACAAAGCACTATTAACCCTTCCAGCATCATTATTATCAGTTTTGGGCGTCCATCACACAGAAATAGCTAGTTTGTTCACACGTAATTAGTCACTCGGCTTTCTTACCGCTTACTCCCAGCGCAGTTGCTTATGGACGCGCTGGTGGTTCCGTGGAACGACGATGGCCAGGACATGCGGGACTTCTTGAGCCCCGGCCGGTCACTCGTGTCCATGGCATTCGAGCGCTCTATCTGTCGGTGGTGATGTCGGTCGGTGTCAGAGTAACCGCGATGTTTGATTTTGATGGGGGTCCGTGGCTGTCTCCACAAATGCTGGGGAGGCTTGAGGGTCGCCTGTCCCTCCCGGGGAACCGGCAGCGAAAGAGACAGGCTCTTTTTAGAGCAAGGTGGCGGTTCCATCATAGTGCAAAATTAATAGATGTACCGAACGCAATGTGTTAAGAGGAATAAAAACGATATGGCTATGTATTCTTGCACATTAAGAAATCAACCCGTCTACTGTCCGTAACTGACTAGTCTCCATGTCCAACGCCGGAATGTATTGAAAGCAGGTCCAAAGGCAATAAAGATTCAGTGCTTTTGTGAGAACTAATCACAGTGTTCAGATAACAGGTGATGGCGCAATGTCGTCCTGTTTTATTGTCATCTCCGCGACTGTGTCGATGTTAAATCCAAAAAAGTTCCTGTTTATCAGAAAGGCTCCACTTTAGAACATTACGAGGCGTCGTATTATCCACGCGGTCGCCGGTGAAGCGCTTTCCCTGAAGTTTCTCATAGCGCGACGGGTCACTTATGTTCAGTGTGGATTTATTGCTTTTATCAACCCTCCAGACTGGTTCCCTGCCCGCGATTATTGCTGCTAAAGACCGCACATGTCTCTCCAAGCTCTGGTGTCTCCAACTGGAGCCATGCGAACTCTGCGATGAGGAGCAATGTTGTACATCTGTAACTAACGGCGACTAAAACTCAAGCTCGCTGTCAGGAGATTCACCTTCCACCTCCATTAAAACCTCGCCGCGAACAGTTTCATTACGCGAATCATGTTGGATTTTGCCTGGAGAACAGCGCGCGTGGGATGATGGATGTAGCTATGTGAGATCCATGCACGCGGCTTTTTCGCGTCCCCGCTTTCTTCTTTCTTGAAGCATTCGTTCAATTCTGCGAAATCATGATTGTAAATCAAAGTTCACCGATATTCGTGATGTACTTTAGTTAGTTTTGCCGTCTTATCTCGCTCGTGTCATTCAGTTGTCGACAGATGTTAAATGGCATTTGAGAAACACTACCGCTATACACTCTCTCTCTCTCTCTCTCTCTCTCTCTCTCTCTCTCTCTCTCTCTCTCTCTCTCTCTCTCCCATTTAAGAGCCCGCGCCGCGATGCAGTTTTCTCGTTCAATTAAGCGAAATGGACCCATACAGCTCCAGTCGTCACTAGTTTTCCCCTATGAATAGATTTCGCGTGTAATTCCATTAAGTAAACATATCGATTTTACCAGCAATATGCAGTGCATTTGGAAAGGACAAATCACCATAATTATGCTCATCCATTTTACTTGAAATAAATATATAATTCTGTGGTTGGCTAATGATTAGAACAGAGTATTGGTACAATAGGCCTAACTGAAGTCTTATACAAAGTGATAACCATTTATATTTGCATTTTTATCTGTTAGGCCTACTTGTGGCAATATTTCTCTTGATGTTTTCATCAACATGGGTCAAAACCTGCAGAGCACATTGTTCTCAAAGGATGTCTGCTAAAACCCCTAAGAGGACTACATTACATAGGCCTACCTGTAGAAATCTATCAGCATTCACATTCCCATTCTCATCTCAATGACAGTTGCTCGACTGGTGCAGAATATGAAATATTTTAAATACACCATTTTCTTCTCATGGGCGCTCAATTCTGCTGCCAGGTTACTTTGAGCCAACCATCCGATCCTAAATGCCATGATGTGACTAATTACAGCTGCAGACAAGGAAAAAACGTTGAGTAAGGGTCCTCCAAAAATTACTAGCGAAACATACATGTGTATAATAAAATGACATTTTGAAATATCTTGAAAATATAAAAATTATTTTATCAGAATGCATGGCTACTTTTAAGTGGAAATGCTAATCAGCTAAACCTTGAGCACTTAAAAACCTCAAATGGTCAGCTTCCTCATTAGCACAATTAAATGACTGAATTCATATTTTCAGTTTGTTAATCAGGCTAATGGCATAGCAATATTTAGGAGGAAGGAGTTGTTGTTTTTTTAAATTGCAAATTATAATACCAGGATTGTTGCAACATGTTGCTTCCTCTTTAATCCTCTTCTTGCAGGGCAATTTTTCGTGATTAGATATTTAACCTTCGCTTTCATGCCCACCCTTTGGGTTTCAAATCAAAGTCACATTTTCTGGCCTAAAGACAGAATCTCTAGTTAATATTTTAATAATCCAGTGAGTCCTGGAGGCCACCCTACAAAACACATTCAGTCACAAGTGAGTATAAATTAATTAGTTGAATCAGGTTTAGGGAAACATCTAATGCCTGGTACACTTTGTATGATTTTGGGCTGTCCCAGACGAAAAAATTATCATTGTGGCTCCTAAACGATGGTCGTACGTCTTACAGTGAGAGCGGTTCAAAGGCGGCCGTTTTTACGGTCTTGCGACCAAAGATAGCCAGCGATAATTTTCAGTGTCAGAAATTTAGCATGATCATCTCAGTGTTTTTGCTGCAAGGTCTACTGACTACCCAAAAAAATTGCAGCATGAAATGGCGTATTAATCAACGCGACATGACGCTAAAACTTAAAACTACTTAGGCCTATCTCAAGCTCCATTTGCAAAATTGGCATGCCAAGTTGGCCTCTTTTCCCTAGCAATGACCACATCCATAATCTCCTCATTCGCTTCCTCCTCTTTTTTTCAGCACACATAAAAACCATTATTGGCAAAATGCTCTTGTTTACCACTAGCGTATATGCTGATGAAGTTTTATTATTCTATACTGACTTGCGCCGGAGCCTACGATTCAATAGGTTTCATCAACCTACAGTCTACATACATGTCGTACCCAAGTTTATTAGATAGTGTGATTTATAATGATCTTATAGGATTTCTGAAACCGCACAGTCTGTAGCAGGCATAAAACGTACAGAAACAGGGTTGGGTTGAGTTAATCTCAAGTTATCTCTAGTTACTGAACAACCTTTGACTGTGTATGCACACAATAATCAAATGCCCTTAAATATATGTTGCTCTTCTAGATATCTTATGCGCCTGTCTCATCTGTCTCTCATTTCTGCCGTATACTTGACAGCGGCGATATTGATACTTCACTCATAATTAGATTGCACTCACTCATGTATCGCTGTGACGAAAGCCTTTTGCTTTTGTCTGCATTGATCCCGTTTACATTAACTCACTGCTGTGATAATGGAGGTTTCTTTCAGTTGGGCTTCTTTAAAGGTCACGCATCTCCGCACCGATGGGTAAACGAAGCACAGCATTAGTTGTATGTATATGTTATAGCGTATCCAGACGGGGAAATATTCAAGTGAGTGTGTGAGAGTGTTGGACTTTTATATGGACAGAATATTGGTTTTCATCACACTGACTTCACCGCTGATGATAAATACTGAATGACTCCGGACAGCTTAAACAAAAGGCTCCAGGTTACATTCCCAATGTGCACCTTAATGGAAATGTCAAGCACTCAATTTATACTGCATATTCTGGCTCAGAATAGACAAATTCGCAGCTCACTTACTCAACTTATCCCTTTCACCCCATAAGTTAGACTGAAATATCACGGCTTAGACTCTGAGACAGGGGCAGAAATATCTTAGTTCAAATAATAGGGCCAGTGTGCAGAGTGCATCAAGTACGGAGCATTTCAGCGAGCAGTTTGTCTGCTCCTATTTTCACTTCATGAGCGCATGCTACTTCTCAGCCCCCTCAGAAGAACACATGTATAGACGAGCGCTGAAACATGAAAGGCGATTTCTCAATGTAATGCCAAGAGAAGCTTTTCGTCTGGCCGATGTCCCAAACATAGTCTTAGCATGAGGGTATATAGGAACCTCGTTCCTTTTGGGAGAAGGCCATTAAATATTAATTTGATCCTCTGAGGAATGGACTAATGAATGCAATGTAAGTGCAGTTCTGTAAGTGCGGTCATGCATCCAGCACCTGTATCACAGAACAGAAAATATGAAAAGCACTCGGGCTTAAATGATGTGTATCCGCCTCCTACACTAGGATATGTGGTGTGTTTTGTCGCTTGGCTACGGAAGAATCCGAATATTAGTCTAGAACGAGGCATGTCTATTTTCAGCTCTTCTGCAGCTCTGCCCAATTGGAAGGAGCAATTTGTTCATCTTGTTTATAGTCTATTACCTGGTACTGTCCACTTCCTTAAACACTAATAGATCGACTGCGTGTGCATGGTGTGAGGGCCAGAGAACAGTGTTAATCTCGTCAACAAAATTAGTGATGAACACGGTCATTCACAAAGTGTCCACGTTTTGACAACAATAAATGATGTGTATCTTGATGATAATTCAAGTTGTCGAAATTATCACAAGAAACAAATTACCACAAGATATTAACAATTTTTGAGAAGATGCACTACCATTCAGAAGTTTGGGGTTGGTAAGATTTATGTAATGTTTTTAAAAGTCTCTTATGTCGCATTTATTTGATAAAAAATACAGTAAAAATAGTAACATTGTGAAATATTTTTACAATTTATAATAACTGTTTTCTGTATTTTAAAATGCATCATTACTCCAGTCTTCAGTGTCACATGATCCTTCAGAAATCATGCTAATTTATTACTCAAGAAACATTTCTTATTATTATCAATGTTGAACATTTTCTGGTAAAACTTTATTTTGATGATCCCTTTTGAACATTCTGTTGACTATAAGTAACTTTGCAACTATACATGTCAACTAACTCTTAGACTGTTTGCTTAATATCAGCTAACACTTTATTGTGATGGTCCTCCAACAGACTTTCTACTGACTATAAGTAACTTTGCAATTACATGTCAACTTATTCTAAACCTAACCCTACACTGTTAACCCTTGCTGTAAAAAAAGGCAAAATTTTGACAATATCATACCATTTTCCATTAAAACAGTAATATACCGTAGAAAACAAAAATAGCCTACAGGAATATTCTGTAAATTAACAGCGCTCAAATTCGACACTCAGAGGCTGTTTTCCCAATCACACCCTATACCCTCATTCACTATTCCCTACACTAGTTCACTAATATAGTCCACTTGACAGAGTGAATGCAAAGAAGTGAGTGAATTCAGACACTGATGAACACCTGATAAGCAGAATCACGGAAGGACAGAGAAACAAGAACAGAAAAAAGAGAAACACAAGAACTACAACTGACTTCCAGCCACACTGAGTGTGAAAACAGTTTACAAACCAGTTTAGCATTATTTTATTTCATACATGTACAACAGTTCTTGTTGAGAATCAACAGATATTTAGCTGTTGATGTTTTATTGAAAATAGTAAAGTTTGTAGTCACCATGATGAAGATCAGTATTTGCTTTAGTTGGGCTCTTGACTTTATAACTTTCGGTTTTCTCTGGCTGCCGTAACTGTGAGTTTATAAACCACATTTTTTTGTGGCAAGAAAAAGCCAAGAGGAAGATGATCAGGTGTTTTTGGCTGTTAAGATGATGGCATAATCGTCCTGGACATGTCTGATTCTCTGATCTCATTCTGTGTATAAGCTTTGAATATATGGGTATTTAATAATTATCATATATCTGTTAATCTACTACATAAAATCCAGCAATATTTCTGTAACCAGTTTTAAAACATTGCATTAAAACATTTCAACTCCTGCTTGACTAAGACACACACAGACATCAACAATCATCATATTAATCTCAACAAGTTAGTGGTATAAACTAGCGATTTCTTTTTACTTATTATATGCCCCCATTACTAGCGTTATACGCTAAACAGTTTTTAGAGATACAACTCTTTACATTCGATTATCATGAAAACAAATCTCAGAGAACGGTTGACTAAGGTACCAATGTTTTATTAGACCAAAGGTTCATTTTGTGCCGGAGTTCTCCTTTAATGATTTTTAGGCAACAGGTATCCTAATTTTTTTTTTTAAGTTAAGTCAACTGATCACTTTTTACCAACTGTGTAAAAGTAACACTGACATAAAGAAATGATTGAGAAGTCTAAGCACTCAGCAGCAGATAATTCAAAGACATGAATGATGAGTTTCTGGAAAAG